TGCAGGCAACCCAGCGCCGCTTAGTGCCGCGCTGGCCGAGACCTGCGAGACCCGCGGCCAGAAACACGGCGAGCCCCCCCCTCCTCGCCAAAGCAGAGCCCGCAGCCGCCCCCAAACCAACCCAACGCCGGGCACCTCCCCGCCTGAGCGTGGTGCCTCCTCAAAGGGCTTAAAAATATTACTCCGTTTCCCACGTTTCCCACGTTTTTGGGGTGATTTAGGGCCGAGGCGACCCGTCGGGACTCACTGCGGGTGTAACCCCAGCCCGTGATGTAGCAGGCGTGGTTGTCGGACAGGATGGCTCCCTCCTGGGGCAGGGCCGCCAGCTGCACGTAGCTGTTCAGGGTGGCGGAACCGGCCAGGCGGAGCAGGGCGATGTCGTAGCTGGCGAGAGGAGGAAGAGGATGTTGCAAGGACCCTCCCCCCTCTCCATTCCCAGCGATGCTGCGCCCCAAATCCCCCTCCCCAAGGGCGTTACCCCCCGGCGACGTTGTTGGTCTTCCAGTAGGGGTGGATGATGATCTTGCTCAGGCTGAAGACCTGCTCGCTGCCGTCGTTGCTGTTGAGGTTGTGCTCGCCGGCCACGACGCGCAAGATCATGTTACTTCTGGGAAGGCAAAAACCCCCACGAGATCAGGCCATAAATTATTATTATTTTAACCTGTGAGCTGATATGGAAAGGATCAGGGCAAGAAGGTGCTCCCAGAGATGGTCCACATCACCCCTTAACGGAGAACCCAGCAAAGACCTTAAAGGACTGTTGCTCTCTGGGTTGGGACAGCCAGAATTTCTCCTTGGAAAGGTTTTTTGGTGGAAAACCGGCTTTTCCACAAGAGGAAGGTGGGGTCCCTGCACCCGCTCACCTATCCACGCAATGGGCTGCCGTCATCACCCAGTTTCTCTGGATGAGGGACCCTCCGCAATTGTGATGCCAGCTGCCGCCGGAGTAATACTGGAGGGAGATCTGGGGAGGGGGACACGAGACGGGGGGCGGGTGTCACCGCGCGGTCCCGGCGGGGTGAGGCTCCCACGGGATTTACCGG